GACGGGAGCAGGTGCTCCAAGCATATCCGGTTTATAACTGGCAAGCATCCATGACCTGATGCCATTTTAGTGCCTGAATGAGGACGGGTAGGGCATCCTGCAACCATATCAGCTCAATACCCCTGCGGGCAAGCCAAAAACCACAGCTGGGAGCATCTAAGACCTTGTCGTCATCATGGCAGCTGAGCAAGGGTGTGTGTTTGGGGCATGTGTTGTGACCTTCCCACATCTGCAAAAATTTTACAACCCACCTGCTAGCAAGCACACAGTGGCACAGACCCCTGAATGGCACAGCGGAAAAGCTCCCTTTCAGCCAAGGAACAAGAAAGGGCTCCATTGTGTTCTCCTCTTTCCAGCAAAAGCAGGACTATGCAATCTCCATACAGGTTGAATTGGCACACTAAAACCATTGCAGCCTAAAGCAAGATGCAACACTAGAGAACGCCAGGCTGGAACATTTACAAAGACACAACTACATGAAAAAGACAAGGGGGAGGGGATTATGTATGCCTGGTTGACACGACATGCAATGGCATGTAAGAATCTAAAATTTAGGGGTGTTTCTGATTTATGGCAACCCTAAGGTGACCCTATCACAAGGTTGTTTGGCCCTTGCCTTCTTCTGAGGCTGAGAGAGCATGACTTGCCCAAGGTCACCCAGTAGGTTTCCATGGCCAAACAGGAATTTGAACCCAGCTCTAGGGAACCACTATATCGTGCTGACTCTGTTTATCTTATATAAAAAAAACCCCAAACTGATGAATCATCATGGTCTCAAAAAGTTGATAAATATCTCCCAATCTTGAAATTAACCAAAGACTCTTCTTTAATCAATATTGTCAAGGCTTCTTCCAAAATGCATGCCAGGATGTTCCCAGACCTTACATCATTTCGGTTGCCCTCCTCTGGACATGCTCCAGCTTGTCAATATCTCTCTTGAATTGCGATGCTCAGAACTGAACAGAGTATTCCAGGCAAGGCATATCCAAACCAGAACAGAGTGGTACTGTTCCATGTTATTCCATGTATTCACCTCAAACTTCAACACACTCGGCCCATCATTTCTCAAGTTTCTTTAACCCTTCGACAAAATATTCTGATATCTGGTCACTGAAATACTGCTCCGTTGCTGCTAGCACCTCTGAGTCATTCAAAAATGTCCTTCTTTTCAAACTCTTTTTACGGTTTGGAAACTAGAAATAGTCCGACAAAGCAAGATTCAGTGGATGGTCTATGCACTCAAGTCCCAAATTCTTCAAAACCTCCATCGTTTTGCCAGCTCTGTGAAGGGGTGCCCCTGCAAAAAGAGAACCTCTTTCCGCAAATTCTCTTGCCATGTACCGTGGGCCCTTGGCGTCCCCTGGGGTTTGGTTCCAGGACCCCCAGTGGATACAAAAATCCATGGATGCTCATGTCCCATCAAATACAACGACATAATAAAATGGTGTTCCTTATACAAAATGCCAAAATCAAGGTTTGCTTTTTGGAATACATACATATATGTATATATATATATATATATATATATATATATATATATATATATGAATCTTTGTAAGCTGTGGATGATTGAATCTGTGGATAATGAGCACCATGCGCTGCAGAGCAGGTCTTCACAGGAGGGGCAACTGTACATTGTGTATTGAAGGTGTGCTGCTGCAACCTGACATCGGACGTCTGCGTTTCTTCAGCTCTCCTTCATCTTTCTCCCAAAGCTGACATTTCAAAGAAAAACAACCCTCCAGCTAGACAGAGGACAAGGAGGAAAAGAAGGCTGTCATGGCGCATAAAGACTTTGTACAAAGGAGCATCTATGTCAGAGGCTTTGGTAAGTGAGGTATCCCTTTAAATCATTTTGGATTCATTCCCATCAGCCCCAACCTGCCTTGCCAGAGATGAGTCACGATGGGAGTTGTAGTCCAAGAACATTTGGAGGTTTCCCTGCCTAGATCCCACACAACTCCACTCAATCTACACAACTCATGAATGCCACTAAGTTATATTTTAAAACACTCTTTTTTATACAGCTGAGTGAGTCACAGCCACAATGTAGGAACTACCCAGCGCAACATCCGAACGGATTTGCGTGCCGCAGCGCACGGCTGCCCCGAAACTTAAAACAGAAAGAGACAGTTGGAATGTCCTGCCTCTTACTTGCTGATGGGATGTCATTAAATTAAGAAATTAATTGTGATGGAATGACATAAAACGTTGTGCTTGAGACGAAGATTATCTCCAGACAAGCCTGGGATTCACATTTTTATCAGCTTTTGAAAACACCGTGGGAGTTATTTTTTTATAAAATCCACACACCTCCAGAGGGTCCCTGGCTGGCAAGGAAGACTCTGGATGACTCACCAGGTATTTGAAAATGGAAGCTTTTGCACGCTGTCTTCATACAATTGTGGAAATGGCCTTGCAGTACAAATGGTGCTTGCACACATTACGTATCAAACACAGATACATACACACAATCTCTCTCTTTCTCTCTCGCATATGCAACAAGCCCATGTTGCTGAATGTTTATTCAGAGTGGACACAAGCAACATTTATTTCTGTTGAGGGTAACATTATTTCAGGGGAAATAAGCCACACAGGACTTGGCACAACCCTGCAATGCTGACTTGGCATAACTTTGCAATGCCCAGGTTTTAGATAGTTTTCATGAGTTTTCTAAGGAGCCGGACCTATTTGGGGACCTTCATTTTCCACTTATGGTGACCCTAAGACAAACCCTATCGTGGGCTTTTCTTGGCAAAATTTGTTCGGAATGGGTTTGCCATTGCTGTCCTCTGAGGCTGAGAGAGTGCAACTTGCCCAAGGTCACCCAGTAGATTTTATGGCCAAGCTGGGAATAATGTGTTTATATTTATACTTCTGTATTTAAGGTTTTTTCATCTGTGAATCTGTATTTCTTTCAAAATAGGTCATTTTAAATTGCCATTCCGGGGAGAAAAGTGGGATATAAATATATAAAACAAACAAACTCCCCCAAAATTTGAATTAAAACTTGCAGCGGATTCACTGCATAATAGACATGGGAATCAGCACAGTTACCTCCTTTTCTCTTTCTTTCTGCCAACTCCTAAACTCTTCCCTTTCCCTTCCCTTCCCTGCAAAGTTTACCAAATGAGTTGCCAAGAGAAGAACAGATCCCTCTTGTCCCAAAAGTTGGAGCTGATCACTCTCAAAGAGCTTTAAGAGCCACAAGCATCCCAGTTTGGACATTTATGTCCCAAATATTCCAAAATTCACATCCCCAAAAATCCAAAATCCAAACAGTCTGGATAAGGGAGACTTAACCTTCTGTAACACTGAGGATTAGAAAGGTTCCCAACTTTTATAGAATGAATGAATAAATGCCAAAGGAAGAGAAACTCATAAATTATCCTATTTCTCCTTGAAACATGAATTTGATCATTTTGGTGCTTTGCATGTTTGCGCCTCCACCTTTGTACATATTATTGAATGGGTAAAAGAGACATGACTGAAATGATCCAAAGCACCTTTGTTTCTCCCACCGAAACGGTGAATTCAGACCTCACCATTCTTTGCAAACACATCCATCCATGCATAAATGCTCCCAATTCAGAGCTGCAGCCTGCAAATCCAAAAACAACTCCCGACAATACAGGGCAGCAGGAAATTAATTCCAAAAGGACCATCCATCCTCGCTCTTGGCCATCTTAGTGGGACAAACAACAAAAGCCTCCATTGCAAAGGGAAGGGACTGCCTTTAGAAAGATAAAAAAGTCCCTTCAAATTGGTGCTGGCAATTTAGTTGTTTACGAGGATCTAGGCCAAGATGAAAGCTACACTGAACTTTAATTAACCGTCTTGGGAAAACACTGATCCGGGTCAGTTGGGACCGAAATTAAGAGCGCTGTGAAACCTTGGGACCGTGGTTATCTCAGCATCTCTACAACTAGTAGTTTTGCCTCAGGTTCTAGAGACGTTTTTGAAGCAAGGAAGAAATAGTTCACAGCAAGGGCATCAATAGGGGAGTGCGGGGGTTTGGATCACACTGGGTGGCACCCTAGGAATGGGTGACACCACTACTTCCCCAAAAATCTGCCTATTGGCATTCACCTGCATCCCTTTAAAATATTGGAGATGGTATAAGTGAGGTCAGGCTCACTGGGGTGGGAGAAAGGAAAGGCCTGGTTGTTGCTTTTTTAATTTACATTTATACATTTAAACTTTTAATGCTTTTTTTTTTAAATGTATTCTTTCAAAATTTTATAAGTAGAATGATAGAGCTGGAAGAGACCACAAGGACCATCCAATCCAACCCCCTGCCATGTAATTACAAACATCACATCTTACCAGATTTTCACATTAATCCCACGAAACTGTGGAGATATAAATATATTTAGTCTGTGCGTATGGTATTGCAATTCAAAGGTCTCCTTTTAATGTTGCTACTTGTTTATGTCCCAACTATTGCCACGGTTGTTCTTGTGTGCCTTCAAGTCGTTTCCGGTGAAGCTATCATGGGGTTTTTCTTGGCAGGTTTCTTTAGAGAGGGTTTGCCATTGCCATCCTCAGAGGCTGAGAGTGTGTGACTTGCCCAAGGTCACCCAGTGGTTCTTCATGTCTGAGTGGGAATTCAAACTCTGTCATCATCCAATACTTAAACCAGTACACCAGTGATGGCGAACCTTTTAGAGACCTAGTGCCCAAACTGCAACCCCAAACCCACTTATTTGTCACAAAGTGCCGCATCCCTCTGGCTTTCTAGTAACAAACTCTGTCGAACTCTGTGCTGGGGTGATGGCACGTGTGCCAACAGAGAGAGCTCTGAGTGCCACCTCTGGCACGCATGCCACAGGTTTGCCACCACTGCACTATACCATGCTGAACCTCACTATTGCCATTACATTCAGTGATACACAAGAATTACAATTTATGAGTAACATTAGTACAAAAAGCTTTACTAAGGATGCTGCATGGTGTGATATGGGATGAGGTCAATGTGGTGTGTGAGACACCATGAGTTATTGCACTGGGTGATGCCAACCCTAGTGATGCCACTGCTTCGCAAACACGATTCCAGACTCCAATACTGGATCCACAATGTGCACTAATCCGGGCACCATGTCCTAGCTCCACATTACACTATTAAATTGTTTGTGATGCAGCACCACAATGTCCTCATATCTCTGCCCAAAAACAGAATGTAGCAACGCTGAAACATTTTTAAAGGTTAATGCTTTGACATTACATTTTTTAAAAAGATTTAACTGGAATATCCAGGAGAGAACACATTACACTTGTGCTGAAATCTCTCCACTGGCTGCCCATTAGTTTCCGGGCACAGTACAAGCTGTTGGGTATGACCTTTAAAGCCCTACATGGCTTGGGTCCAACCTATCTCCGGAACTGCCTCCTTCCATACGATCCTCCCCGTGCACTTCGGTCCTCTGGGAGGAATCTGTTACAGCCTATGAAAACTATGAAAACTTCTTTGCCTTCGCCCCCAGATTGTGGAATGGCCTGCCGGACGAGATCCGTCTCATTACCACT